AGTTAAGTAATATTCAAGTTTCTCCCTCAGAACTACAAGCTTTAAGATGTTTGCTGGATCAACAAAACACCTGCCTCAGGAAACCCATCCATGGAGGAGATTACTTGATCTTTCACGAGAGAGAAAATTCAAAGATTCCAGATTATAAGAATCTATTCTTTTTTTCTAACTTGGTTAAAGTATTTTGGGGTTGTTTTTTTTAACTGCAAGTCTACCAGTGGCCCTTCACTACACACTAGCACAAGCTTATTGTTAGTGAATTATAAAATCAAAATTAGACAACAGTAAAAAAATAAACAGGATAAAGGAAACGTTAGACAAAAATGTAGAAAAAGTGCAAAATACACATATACTCTAAGATAAGGACCAAATCACACAATCAATTCTCTGCGTAACTTGCTATCACAAGAAGCCTTAAAAGTCATCAAGCTTATTCAAAACAAACAAAATTCACAAAAAAACAACACAGCAAAAGAACAACGAAAGAAACCCCATGAAACACATGCATAGTGTTTCTGGAGTTGGAGCCATTACCTCCTGTACCATTAAAATAGCAGAGGCAATAGCAGCTACAATTCTGCAATGATTGTAAGATTGTGGATATCAGGTAGCATTGGCTTGCAATCAGACAAGCCACTCATCTGTAACAAACCAGGTACTGAGGAACAGACGATTACCTTTCTTCCATTAGTTGTGCATCTTTGCCTATTTAATTGAAAGCCCTTCGGAGCAGAAATTTTAGCATTATTTGTGCAATTTATTGTATATTGCTGCTCCTAGATAGCCTCATAAAAACATTAAAGTGAATCAAATTCATGACAATGGAACTGTACAGAAGTTAAGGCACACACTTAGACTTTGAATATTCTTTGTTAGGCTAGTCTTATCAGAACTAAAAATACTGCAAAGCTGCATAACAGGTAACCATGGAAAGAATGACAAAACCAAAAAGAATGACTGCATACAAGCCTACTCATCCTAATCTCCATTCAGCATTTTCACCAACTCCGCTGGAGGAGTTTTGCAAAACCAAGCCTACAGAGAAAAAAAATCTGTATGTTGTATTCCACGCTTCAAGGAAGCATGAAACCAAGAAGAAAATTATGACCCTCAAATCCCTCTAATACTACCCACACGACTTAAGCAATAGGATTGCTTATGCAGTTTCCTAAGCCATCCCATCACATCCAGCATCTAAACCCAGATTGTTTTATTGAGGCTAATTCAGTATCTTTCTAAAGCCTACAGAGTGTATGATATAAACAATAGGCTAATGACAAAAGTATATTAGAAAACACTTTCAAGAAGAGGATCGAAGAATTAAAAAAACCCCAAACCCACTCACCTCGCAAAGACTAGCAGAAAAAGATACTACATAGGTTAACATAAAATAATGTATCCAGAGAGACTGAGATAAATGCTTACTAGAAGTAAGATGAAGGAAAAAAATGTCAAAATTCCGTCAGATAAATTCAAGTAATTGCATGCTAACTTAACATCGGCTTGATGTATGCCGTAAAATGTATTCCTTTACACTTTTTCTCTTACATTAATGCTATTTTTTTATTCATAATACAAAACTACACTATTGTTACAAAGGAGGCAGAACTAGGACAACCTATTTACAACTCCTAGTGGTAATACAGGACAATCAATTCCAAAAATAAATTCCCCCATCTGATTTGTCCTAAATCTTTAATCTCATTAGTTTTGCATACTGATAAAGGATAAAAGAGATCTAAAAGGGGGTAAGTTTCCAGGCACTGATAAATTTTATTTAGTCTATAGGTTACTTAAGAATAATGAAAAAACTCTTCTGAACAGGTGAAGCAACTTGTCATACTAAAGAATTTAAAAGCTGGTCTCATCACCTACCCAGTGCTGCACACCCACCAAGAGCAAAATTATCACGTGTAGGAGGCGGCACTGTGAGAAGCCTTCCCAAAAGCTCACCGATTGTAACATCTGCATTCCTTACCTCTGTTTACAATAATATTCATAAACTCTAGAACTGTTTCTGAATCACTGTATTGGAATGGTACCAAACCTATTCTGAGAGATGGTATAAGGAAAGGAGTGTTTGCAGTACATTTTCTAACTAGCACGAGGAACGAAATTAACATTCCAACATTCTTCACTCCTATCGTATTGCTCAAAAGAGCATGTTGCTTAGAAAACACAAGACAAAACAGTTACAGTTAAAACTACACGGGCAATTCATTTGGTGTGAAGAGATCTCACAACTCCTGGCCTCAGAGAACAACACCAGGACGACTAATACCACAGCACTGTTGATTCAGCATACCTTTGATACAGCTAAATAGCCAGGAAAAGTGGCCAAATGTCTCTTAGAAATAGCTAGACATCTTATGTCTTACATCTTTCTGCTCGAGTTAATCTTAAAATAGGCATGAGTGCACACTCTACGACATAAGTGAAAAGGATCTATTATACTGAAAGATAAAGGAAAAAAAGTGAAAAATTCTTATGTATTCTAAGCAAAGACTGACAATTTGAATGTGATGCTTATACTTCTAAGTTCAGAAAATATACCAGTGTGTAAGCAATCAATTTTATCATCTACTGTATCAAGTGAAGAGATTGTAACTAATCACAGTAAAAAAAAAAAGAAACAACACATTTCTAGCCAAAAAGAGTGCTACCGCAGTCCCCAGTTACATAGTGAACTATCTTGGAGGTGACAGCACTAAACTCACAGTGAACCGTTAACTTCAGACTGGCTTCACGCGACTGCACAAACGTACCGAGGTAAAGCTTGCCACTATAAAGCCACTTCAATTCAAAATAAAATAAACTATTTTCAGTTTAGCAATGTGTCCAAATGAATTTTGTGTGTTTCTAGGGCCTTGCAACTATTACTAGCAAAAGTAGGAGACTCAAAACTAAGCTTGGAGACATTGCTCCATGGGCACACACGTACAGAAAAATCAGAACACACTGTAAACATTTGGAAACTCAAGGATAAACCATATGTCCTCAAAATTACAAGGTGCAAACAACATATTTTTCACGGTTTTTGGAAAATAGACTATTTTATGAATACTATCTTTAAAAAATGTTTGATAGCTCGGATCTATCAGCTCTTCCATCTTTAAATCTTGGATGTATTTGCATTCCCAAAACACCGTATTATTCAAACTGACTTTATCATCTAGAGCAATGTTTACTGCGTTCCT